TTCCTTTATAACACCATATTCTAATTCCCCTTCCTTGGAAGAGTCCCCCCTCTCCCCTGGTCTCTGACCCCGGTGGTTATTCTAATTGAAACACACATATCTAAAGATTAAAAGCTAACATCCACATATAAGAGAAAACATGCACTATTTATTTTTCTGGGTCTGAATGATTGTAGTTTCTTACATTGACCTGAAAATTAATAATTCATTTTTCTTAGCTGCTAAGTAATATTCTGTTGTGTAAATGTCCCGCACTTTCTTTACCCATCCATCAGTTGATGGACATCTAGGCTGTTTCCAATTTCTAGCTATTATGGAGAGAGCAACGATGAACATGGTTGAGCAAATATCTCTGTAGTAGAATGCAGAGTCCTTTGGGAATATACCTGATTGTGGTATAGCTTGAAGTATCTTGAAGTAGATCTATTCTCAGCTTCCTGCAGAACTGCCACACTGATTTCCATAGTGGCCATGGGTTTTCTATCATGGGATGAACAATTGTATTCTCCCTCTATTGGAAAAGTATCACCTTCCAGCTGTTCTCAAGGGCATTTGCTTTACTTTTGGGCTGTTTTGCTATTCTTTCCACTCACAGTTGTGGGGTGGGGGAACCATCCTCAGACCTGTGGTCTTGGAGGACACTTGACATGAACATGTTTGAGTTGGAACTGTGTCCACCAACCCTGCTTCCAGGACTAGCTTCCCAGTGAGCTCCAACAGCACATGACAGTTCACCAGGTAATGTACATCCCCGGTTTGTTATGAGTGTGTGTGAACAGTGTAAAAGATAAATTATTGAGAGAAGAAAGCAAGCTTGACCTTTCAAGAATTGACAGCTGAAGCCAGTGAGACTGATGAAGTTGGCTAAATAAAAACTCAGAAACATCCCCGTGGAAAAGTACCACGAACTGTTGGTAAAATATAATAATAATAATAATAATAATAATAATAATAATAATAATAAATAATAATAATAATAATAAAACAACCCAAGTCCACCACTGCGGAAGACTTTGCCTAGAAAGCAGGAGCAGTAGAAAGCAGTGTTTGTAACTGAGTGTGCGTGAAGCCTAATGTGTCTGCCAGGATGCTGGTAAGCTGGAAGGACATCTTATCCCTTTGTCATCCAGGCATCTTTAGAAGAAGAAGAAAGTGGTCCTTGAGGAAGAAGACAAGTGTCACCGCTGTCACCTCGAATCCGCCACGTCCCTTAGACACTAGGCAGGCATCTGTTTGCTTTTGTCCAAGGACAGAGAAAGCTCGTTGGGTCTTGCTGAGGAGGCTCAGGCTATGAGGTGGCTCAGTGGTTTAAGAGCACCCGTTGCTCTCCCAGAGAACCCAAGTTCAGCTCCCAGCCCTCTCCTTTGGTTGTGGTGGTACACCTATAATTCCGGCACTCAGGAGGTGAAGCATCATGATTGCTGGGAGTGTGAGGCCAGCCTAGGGTATATAGCAAAACCTTGTCACAGAAATGAAGGGAAAGAGGGAGGGAGGGAGGGAGGGAGGAAGGAAGAAGGAAGGAGGGAGAGGGGGAGGGAGGGAGGGAGGAAGGAAAGGAAGGAAGAAGGAAGGGAGGGATGGAGGGAGGGGAGCAGGGTGCTATGGTTTGAATGAGAATGCTGCCTCCCCTATAGGTTCATATGTTTGAATATTTGGTCCCTCGTTGGTGGAACTGTTTGGGAAGGATTGGGAGGTGTGGCCTTGTTGAAGGAAGTGTGTCACTGGGGATGGGCTTCAGGTTTCAAAAGACTCGCCATTCTGCTCCCTCTGCCTCCCACTTGCAGATCAAGGTGTGAGCTCTTAGCTCTTCTGCTGCCAGCAGCAGGCTGGCGTCTCCTTCCTCAGCCTTTCTCCCAGGCCGCCATAGACTCTCTCCCCTGAAACCTTAAGCCCAAATTCAACATTCTTCCATAAGTTGCATTGGTCCTGGTGTCCTGGTGCTGTATCACAGCAATGGGGAGGTGACTTAAGGGGGAGGAGCATTGTGTGGAGCAGGACTTGGTTCCCTTTTTGTCCCTGTGAGGTGAGCAGGACTCTTCCCCAACTTGGGCATCTTGACTTTATCCAAGGAAAGGAACTGCAGGATCTTAGAGTCCTATTCCTGGAGCATGAGGACTGTGTCCAGGCCTTAGGGAACTAGAATACCGTGCATGGAGGCAGAGATAGAGCTTTCTCCATTTTCCACTATGTCCTCAGAAGGAATAAGTTACGAAAAAGTGTTGCCTTCAGATTTACAAGGCGCCATTCTGGTCTGCCAGGAAAAGAAAACCCAGCATTGAGACAGACTTGGAAAAAAGATGACTTGGCTTCGGAGTAAAAACAGATGTCACATCCTGTGGCTGCAGTGAGCTTTGGCTCTCCTGACAGGCCCTGGCAACTCAGGTGCCTCCTTCTCCAGGGTCACTTTGCAAGCCTTGGTCATGCCCTGCTCTGTGCCTAGAGGGATTGGCAGGATGGTTCTACTTCCTGTGTTACAGTAATTTAGGATGGCCTCTCTTCCCACTGGAGCTGGCCTTTCAGGGCCAGGCCTTCCAACACTGCTCTCTTGCAGGGCAACCAGAAACTCTCCCAGGGTACCTGCCAACCAGGGCTCGGGCAGCCAGCTCATGGGTTGACTGGTACTATTTTCCCAGCTTTGGAAGGTGACATTTGCTTCTCCATTAGAAAACATAGCTGTTGCCGGTAGCACAGACGAGCCCACGCCCCGCCCAGTACCCTCAGCCACCCAGGAATCTGACCATGGGCTCCCCTGGCCCATCACCCCTGGTTCCTCTGGATCAGCAAGCAGCCTGGCACCTCTTCCTTCCATCCTTCCTGAGTGGTTTCTATGGAGGGCTGTATTTCCTTGACATCTTAATAAGCCACTCCACGATAAAACACAGGATAAAACACCCATGCTAGCCCTTTCTTAGAGGCCGGGGCTGATTTAGAGGACTTTAGACCCAAGGTGACGTGGATTTTTTTTTTTTTCACATGTGTGAAGCAGAAGTTGTTCCAAGCCGGCTCCAAAGCTCGCCTGCCTTCTGTCAGCCCCATACCTCAGCAGAACTGACAAGGGCTTCCTGGGTCACCCTCACGCTGAAGGCCTTCAGCATCTGGGAAAGGCCCGGTCAAGAAGAAAACCTTCCAAACAATGGAGGCGAAAACCTTGCCCTTCCCTTATCTGTGCCTGGGAGCATGGTATTTGAGGCGAGGCCGCTGTGGTGGTTACCTGGCGGAGTGTCACCTTCCCACAGGGCTGGGGTAGAGCTGTCAGTGCCTGCTCTGTGCTATCTGGGGCTGAGCCAGTGTGAGCTCCAAGAAAAGAGGCATGTGCCAGTGCAAACACACTCGACGTTTGCTAGATCCAAACTGCTTCCCCCAAATAGTAATTCTGGTGACAATGTCCTAAACACAAGGCCTTTGGCTGGGTAAACAGAGGCCTAATGGTGGGTTTCTGTTTACTGGGAACCTCTCTTTAATCAGCCTCCAAATGTCAACTACCCAGGGCAAGGGTGTCTAGTTAATCTGAACAGCACGTAGCAGCTCAGAGACTCCACCCTGTCAAGCATGATAAAACCTGCTTGCTTTCCCAACATTCTGCTTCCCCCCCCCCCCCCCCCCCGGCTCCCAAGAGATAGCCTTGACACTTCCGTAGAGTGGTCCAGTTCAGTGTTTCACTTATTTTCCATTAACTTGTATTTACATGGCTATACGGTTAAAGTCACGGTACGTGGACAGAGCAGCTTCAGAGACGGAGGCCGGGATTCTGGACTTCTGTGAATATGCTCACCTAAACTCCGTTGATGTAGACCATCCAGGGTGACAGAGGGCCCTGGTGGAGCTTGAGTCTCAGATGGTCTCTGGCACCTGGGTGTGTAAGTGGGAGAGTTGACAGTAACACCAGGCCTCCACACCTGTGTCTGGTGGACCGGACTCCTGATTTATCTGGTTTTTCTTTTTTTTTTTTTTTTTTTTTTTTTTTTAGATTTATTTATTTATTATGTATACAGAAGAGGGTGCCAGATCTCATTACAGATGGTTGTGAGCCACCATGTGGGTGCTGGGAATTGAACTCAGGACCTTTGGAAGAGCAGTCGGTGCTCTTAACCTCTGAGCCATCTCTCCAGCCCCGATTTATCTGGTTTTAAGGAAAACTAATCCTTGAAAAATAGAGTATCGGCATTAAAAAATCTTTTGCACAGTGCAAAAGATTTTGGAAGGTTCTAGAAACTCTAGGAGGTGAGCATTGATGGAGTTGGAGGAAATGAGAGTGGTTCCTTGGGGTTGTTTGTTTGAAAGAGAGTCTCACTGGCCCTGGCTTGCCTGGAACTTGCCATGTAGACCAGGCTGGCCTCAAACCTCCAGGAATGTGCCTGCCTCTGACTCCTGAGACTGAAGGAGGCACCATCACACCTGCCTCCTTAGTGATGTGCCTGCCTCTGTCCCCATCCTCTCTCTCCTCCTGTCCGAGGTAAGCGGCCTCTGTCTGCCACATAACCCTGCTGCTGAGACACATTGCCTCACCCCAAGCCCAGGAGCAGCAGAGCCAGAGCCCACCATGATGGATGGAGCCTCTCAAACCATAAGTCAAAGTTAAAAATCAGCCAGCGCAGACAGGACTCCCCAGTGGTCAGTTTCTACCTGGACCTTGTTTCTTTGTGAAGAAGTACTTTTAAGTGTGACAATTTTGCTTTGTTTTTTAAAATTGCATTTATTTACATATTTGCTTATTTATTTGGGGGGTATAGAGGATAACTACCCAGAGTCAGCTCTCTCCTGCCCCCGTGCGGGTCCTGGGGATTGAACTCAGGTGGTCAGGCTTGCCGGCAAGCACCTTGACTCCCCGAGCCGTCTCACTGGCCCGGACAGTCTTACTTCTAAGCTTCAATTTTGCTTTCTCTTTCAGGACCACATGTGACCGACCTTTACTGTGGCATCTCCTTAGGCCTCTCCCGTCGGGAACAGCGCCCTCTGTCTTCTTGTCCATCACTACCTGATACTTGGGAAGAGTTCTGAGCCATGGTTTTTAGGGAGCCTCTCACTTCGGGCCACATGACTTTTTTCTGCAGAAATGGACTGAGGCTCTGCAGCTCTGGCAGGAATCCCATGGAGGATGCGTGTCCTTCCCAGGTCCTCACACCAGGGCCAGTGAAGCCAGTGCGTCTTGGATCTGATGGCAACTTTGATCTACTCCGTAAGGGACTTTCTCCTATAAAATGGCTGCTTCCTGCTGTAGCTCTGATTATCTCATGGGTAGACAATGAGCCTATAAATAGATCATTTCTAATCAAGGTATACATGATACGGTTGATGTGTCGTGGCTAATTAAATTTACTATATGCCTTATATTTGTTATTATTATGTATGATGATGATGATGATAGTTGAAACAAGTTCTCCATATGTGGCTCAGGCTGGCCTGTTCCAGAGTCTCTGCCTGCGTCTTCCAAGTGCTGATTGCAGGCATGGACTGACGTGCTCAGCTCAAAACTAAAACTTAAAAAGCTCTATGTATCTGAGGAAAGCTGTACCATAAAGCGTATTTGCTTGACAGTACGTGGCTTATTTCTTAAAATGGGACTGTATCTGATGGGGAACCTGCGAGCACCCCACAGACTGAAGGAAAGGGTTTAGAGCGGGTCACAGTGACGTGGCATGGGGCCACACAGATTCCCTCATCGAGTGAGACAGTGAAGCTGTAGCCAGAGCCTTCCAGGGTGGCTCTGTTGACCCGAAGACAGAAAAACAAATCTTCACGGAGAGAAGGCTATTACAGCCTTCAGAATGGGCAGGACATCAAACCCTGTTTAACCCATAAAGTTAACCTGGTTAACTTACAGCAAGGTGGTTAAAAGGGTCTTGTGCCCCAAGGCGAATTCAAGTGTTTTCCTTTAAGAAAAAAGAAAGTATACTTGTTCAAGATTGTCATTTGGAAGACAAATGACTGTCGGATGCACGTTTCTTGGCAGAAAGTGAAAAATAACAAAACACTGGTAATTTGTACTTTCAAGAGAAAGGTGCTTTGTTGTTTTTTGAAGTAACAAGGAAAATCAGCATCTTTTGGAAAGACAAATGGGAAACTTCTAGAGACAGATGGGCTAAAAATTTTATTGTGGCCCAGAATAGCTTAAGTTATTATCAAAATGCACTTGGCTGCATTTTTTTTTTTTAAAAAGGCACTAAGGGCTGGAGAGAAGTGGGGCTTGCTGCCAAGCCTGAAGTACAGAGACCCCACAAACTGGCCAGATCATGTTCTTAAGGAAGAAGAGAGAGGAGGCAGTATAGGGCAAGAGGAGAGTGCGGCTGACCAGGCCTCTATACAGACTGGACAGATGTGGACAGAGAAAACAGACTGGCCCTGTGTTGGCTTTCATCTGGACTCCGGGCTCCTGGATTGCTTTGCTTGGCTTTTGAGAAAGGGTGTCAAGTAGTTCAAGCTGGCCTTGAACTCACAATGCAACTGAGGATGACCTTGAGCCTCTGTCCCTCCTGTCCTTACCTCCTGAATACCAGGCTAGTAGGCAAGCACTGTACCAACAGAGCCACACCCCCAACTGCCCAGGTAACGTGTGTGTGCTGCGTCAGGAGGGTCAGCAACTGCACTTTCTGGGTCTGCGCGATCAGAGCTGTTTAGACCTGTGCCGAAGGGAAGAGCCAAATGCTGTCCGCTAAGGGAGCAGGGTGGATTCTGTTGTCTCCCAACGATGGGTGGCAGGTCACATCTGTACAGCCATAGTTAGGTCTAGCATTTAGTTCAGGAAACCTGAGAATGTGAAAAGTTACGAAATCTCGTGTTGGTTTGAAAACAAAGGATTTACCAGGCTGCACATCAGATCCTGCCTTGTTCTCCTGTCCCTGGGACTCGGGGTTTCACAGGCTGTACTGAAGTGGACTGTCCCCCATCTGGAGCTGGCACGGTAAAGCCCTCTGAATCCTTCCATGAAGGTTTGCCAATGGCATCACGTGCTCCATGCCCACCGGATACAGAGGGAAGGGACTTTTATATCAGACCTGGTGAGAATGCTCCTCACGTGAGCAGTGAACACGCTGCCCTGTCAGCGTAGCCTGAGAGAGGGGAACCATTCCTACCTGCTGCACATGGCTCTCTCCTCATGACGGGTACAATATCAATCTTGGGGACATGGACCAGGGAACTCAGTGGTAACATGCCTTCAATTCCATCCCCAGTACCATATGAATCAGGCATAGTGGGGCCTACCAGTGACCCCGGCATTGAGGAGGGTCAAAAGTTAAAGGTCATCCTCAACTATATTAAGTTTGAGGCCAGCCTGAGTGACATGAGATCTATCCCATACCCCCAAAAGAATTTTATGGTATGTGGCACATTCAGACTGGACTTGCTGCAGCATCTGGAGGAACCCCAGACAAGGGTGGACAGACTGGCTTCGTACAAGTGGCTGAGTGGGGCAGGCTGTGATCCCTCAAGCATTACGCAGCCAAGAGCTTTTTGGCTCCATCCACAAACCTAGGAACTGCTCCGATGACCCGCCGGTCTCCATCTTACTCTCATGTTAGGGCCTCCCTGAAGAAGCAGGAAACCTGGAAGAGGACAGTGGGGCTGGGGGAGAAGGCTTGTGTGGGTCGGGATGTGTGAGCAGCTTGCACCTCCTTTGACAGTTCGTTACTAAGAAACCTTCATGCAAGCGTTTAAAGCTCAGCCACTCGTCGGAGGCCGGAGAGGTGGCTCAGTGGTTAGGCGCGCTTGTTGTGCAATTGTGAGGACCTGAGTTCGGGTCCCAGCATCCACGTAAGCTGGGTGTGGTTTCATGCACGCCTGTAAATCCGGTGCTGTGGGGGACAGAGTCGGGAGAACCGATTGCCGGCTGCCAGTTTAGCAAAATAAATGCAAGCTCCGGGTTTAGGGAGAGACCTTGCCTCAGCGGACTGAGGTTAAGAATGAGGGAAGAGGGTGCCTCCCTCTCCTGACCTCCACACGTGCACCCGCATACACACCACGCACACACACTCCACACTCACACAAGAGTTAGAAAACCAAGTAGAATCAGTCGCTCACTTTGGGGGATTTCCAGCCTGTTCTGTATTAAACCATGACCAAGGGAAGTCGTGCCAAGGACAAGCCACATGCTTGAGTTTCACCACATAAAAAATTACTTTCAGGCAAAAGTCATGCTGTTCTTTCCAAGACACAACTGTGTGGTGCTGTCCAAGCCGAGAGGTCTTTGTTGGAGACCAGGACAGTGGTGGCGCCTGGTGAACTGGGACGTGATCTGAGGGAAACAAGAGATGGCGTGCCGTAAATAAGTTACGTGCCCGTCGGTGCTGTCCAGGAAAGCACCTGGGCTCTCCTGTTGGAAGTCACCCAAAAGCACACCTCGAGGTCTGTTTAAGACCTTTCCAGGGAATGAACTTGCTCCAATGGCTGAAGGTTTGCCAGATGGCTTCGTGGAGGGGCTGAGGGTTGAGGGTAGGAGCACACCCCTGGGCTGGAGTTCTTGATCCTTAAGCTCACTCCAGGGCACACAGAGTTGTACAAACAAGAAACATCAGGGCAGAGGGGACGTCGGGGAGAGCTGTGCCGGAGCCAGGCGCATCAGGCTGCCTGTTTGAAGTAATGTAATCGTAGATCAAGCTGACGACGACTTGCTTTGGTTAATCCTCGTTGTCAGCCCGAGGGGCTTCAGAATTACATAGAAGACAAGCTTCTGAGCTGGTCGGTGTGAGGGCGTTCCCAAAGATGTTTCACCCCGAATATGGGCAGCAGCACCCCATGGGCTGGGATCCCAGACAGAATGAGAAGGGGAGGGGAAGCCAGTGAAACTCCAGCGTTCATCTCTCTCTCTGCTGATCACAGACACTGCCCTGCCTCACTCCCACCCACCAGGCCTTCCCCACCAGGATGGACCCCCGTGTCCCTGAAACAAGCTGAAACACGCCTTCCTTCTTTAAGTCGCTCTTTGTCTGGTATTTGATCTCAGTAACGAGGAGAAGTAACCAATGCTGTGGCTCCGATCAAGAGAGCTCTATGCCGGGCGGTGGTGGCGCACGCCTTTAATCCCAGCACTCGGGAGGCAGAGGCAGGCGGATCTCTGTGAGTTCGAGGCCAGCCTGGTCTACAGAGTGAGATCCAGGAAAGGTGCAAAACTACACAGAGAAACCCTGTCTCAAAAAGAGAGAGAGAGAGAGAGAGAGAGAGAGAGAGAGAGAGATGCAGGAAGGGGCTGGGGTGGCAGAGACCAGTCTGCAAGGCTGGCGGGAGCCCCTGGCTAGCGTCGCAGTGGTGGCAGCAGAGGGTTGGAGAAATGTAGGAAGTGGAAGCTTCTTTAGCATGAAGACCTGGGGTCTGACCTGCCTCAGGGACACGGCAGGAAAAATATGGAAAAAGGGAAGACAGCGTACTGGGGAAGTTCCAGGCTCTGGGCATAAACAACCCAAATCCAGCTAATCTTGAACTGAGCATTCTTGGGGATGGTGCCAAACAACACAGCTCGGAACAGAGCGCTGGGGGCTGGAGAGAAGACTCAGTGGCTAAGAGCGCTGGCTGCTCTCCCAGAGGACCCAGCTTCAGTTCTCAGCACCCACATGGTGGCTCACAACTGTCTGGAATTCCAGTTCCAGCAGATCCAACGCTCTCTCCCGGCCTCCGAAGGAACCAGGCATGCACATGGTACACAGACATACATGAAGCCAAAACACGGAAAATAAGAATAATAAAAGAAAGGAACAGGAGCCAGGCAGTGGTGGCGCACACCTTTAATCCCATCACTCTGGAGGCAGAGGCAGGCGGATCTCCGAGTTTGAGGCCAGCCTGGTCTACAGAGTGAGTTCCAGGACAGCCAGGGCTACACAGAGACACCCTGTCTCAAACAACAACAATAACAACAAAACAAAGATAAGACGAGAACAGAAGTGTGAGTGGAGGCTAAACAGGCCTGCTGGAAACTGAGTCTGCAGTTTGATTTCAACAAGGTTAAAATGCAAATTGGAAAAACCCAGTACTCTTCAGGAGACTACAACAGAATCCCCGCTTTTCACAACCAAACACTCACAGCGTCCAGTACAATGTCCCTGACTTTCATGGGCGGGCAACTGGCCACCCAGGAGGGTGTCTGGCAGTTTCTGGCAACAGTTTTTAAATTAATTATTGTTATGTGTATGTGTGTGTGCTGGTCTGAGTTTATGAGGCCCACATGTGTGCAGGAGCCCAAAGAGGCCAGAAGACATTGGATCCCCTGAACTGGAGGGACAGACTTGGGGACTCCCATGGCACTGGAAACTGATCTTGGGTCCTCTGGAAGAGCATCTTGATCGTCAGAGCTGTGACTGTTGCTTCTGTCATAGGACACGGACAGGACAGGCACACGTATGGAAGCCGACAGTAAAGACAGGACAGCACCCCCATGAGAGTATTTCATCTAGAACTGGTGAGAGGATGGCTCAGTAAGTCCAGGCCCTCGTATCATAAGGTTGACAACCTGAGTCCCCAAACCCACATAAGAAGTCAGGTGCCATGCCGCACGTCTGTAACCCCAGCACTCCCATGGAGACGGGACTGGGAAAGCTGCTGGAGTGCACGGTGCAGTAGAAACATCAGACCTGTGTCCAACAAGGCACAAGGAGAGAAACTGACCGCTAAAACTTATTATCTGATTTCTACACACTTGCTCCGACACTGAAGCATGAATTCAGACCCCTCCCCCCAGCATCCATGTATACGCCAGGCAGCATGGCAGCTCTCCTGTAATCCAGTGCTCGGGAGGTGCAGACAGGATCCCCAAAACACACAGACTAGCCAGACTGTCATTCTCTGGGTTCAAGTGAGAAACCCTGCCTTGAGAAAAGAGGTGAAGAGTGATAAAGGAAGGTACCCAGTGCCAACCTCTGGCCTCTCACACGGGAACACAAGTACACACACCTACCCACGTCACACACACAGAGTCCACAGACAGGAAGGCAGACTTCCTCCATACCATGTGTCTTAGTTACTTTTCTATTGTTGTGATGAAACGCCATGACCAGGGCAACTTATAGAAGGGAGAGTTTATTTTGGACTCACAGTTTCAGAGGGTTAGAGTCCATGACAGTGGAGTGGGGACCACAGGCATCAGGCTGCTGGAGCGGCAGCTGAGAGCTCAGGAAATCAAAGCGAGGTAACTCTCTCTCTCTCTCTCTCTCTCTCTCTCTCTCTCTCTCTCTCTCTCTCTCTCTCTCTGAGACAGGGTTTCTCTGTGTAGCCTTGGCTATCCCGGAACTCCTGCAGACCAGGCTGGCCTCTGCCTCCCAAGTCGTGCACCACCACCTGGCAAGTCCACACTTCCTAATCTTCTCCAAACAGCCATGCTGGGGACTGTTTTATTTACCTTTCTGTTGCTGGGAAGAGGCACCCTGACCAGGGCATCTTAGAAAAGAAAGCATTTAATTGCAGCAGACAGGCAGGCATGGGGCTGGAGCAATAATACCTGAGAGCTTACATCTGAGCAACAAGCAGGAGGCAGAGAGAGAGAGAGAGACAGAGAGAGAGAGAGAGACAGAGAGACAGAAAGACAGAGAGACAGAGACAGGGCACTAACTGGGAATGGTGTGGGCTTTTGAAACCCTGATCCCACCCTCAGTGACGTATCTGGTCCAACAAGGCCACACTTCCAAATTCTTCCCAAACAGTTCCATCAGCTATGGGAGCCATGCTCTAAAGCACCACAGAGACCAGGTGTTCAAATGCCCACGACTTACGGAAGACGTCTCATTCAAGCCACAGCACCATAAGTGGTTGTCCAGCCAGGTCTGCATAGATCGAGGATGGCCTCCCTCTTGTGCAAGGGGGTTTTGGAGCAGGTGGCGTGGACTGCGGCATCTGATCTTCGTGGGTCTCTAGCCTGCTCCCCCACCCCATGGCCTATCAGTCCTGGTCCAGATATTTCTTTCTGCAGAGCCTGCTAAGCAGTGGTGTCTGTGCCTCAGGTCCGTGGCAGCTGATGCCACAGCAGGAGGCATCTGTTGCTGGTTCTTCTCCCAGTCATCTTGTTTCTCTGCTCAACACCCACACAGCTTCCCTGCTGCGTTCTAACTGAGGAGAGGAGGTTTACGGAGACCCTCAGGTACCGCTTCATGTATCCAAGGAGCACTGCTCACTCAGTGGCCAGCTTTCTTGTCCCTCCCCTCGTCCAGCTCCACCCATATTTTTAGCTCTGTGGTCACTGACAAGACTTAGTGAGGGGCTGTGGGGTACCCGGGCACCTTCGGCTTCCCCTGATCCAGGGCAGGAAACCAGAGACTCGGAGGCCAAGGTCAGGATGTGTGGACCGTGAAAGAGTTCAGGGGTTCCTTCATGCATATTCTCACAGTTTGAATATATCAATATATTCTTTTTTTATTTTCTACTCATAGAAGTGTACTTTTTTTTCTGGGGGGGGTTGTTGTTCCTTTTATTATTATCTTTTAATCTAACATTCAAAGGAATGGGCGTCATCATGGCATTTTCATACATAGGCCTTCATATTGTGGTCTTTGCCCCCCATGGAGTGGATTCAGTTAGGTGTTCCCTGGTAGACCTGTGTGAGATCACACAGTTCCCACACGTGACATCCATGTGAAGGCAGTCAGCATCACACTCAGAGGTGGGCCTCATCCCTGCAGGCTCAGGAATTCAGCATCAGCACAGGTCAGCTGACCGACCCAGCACCTGTGTGCGGACATTAAATGAACGTAAAGGACTTGGAGAGGAACTGTGTAACAGGGACTTTGAGGAGACCAGGGTTCCGCTCTCTCCAGGCCGGTTTGCATGTGGACCTGTTTCAGCCAGGAATGGCTGGGGTTCTAGATGCTGTGCAAGGTGAAGGCCAGAGGGGATTTCTGTCATACAGTCAAGATGACATCTGGACATCCCTGTTGCTATGGGAAGAGGCACCTGACACTTCAGGGATTCACAAAAGTCCCTGCCGGGGGGCCTGAAGCTGCCTCTAAATGCCCCTAGTTGACCCTGCTGGCTTCTACACATTGGTATAACACCCAGGAGACCAGAGTCAGTGCTAAGGTCCATCCCGACAAGTAGAGACCATAGGTTTGTGGAAGACACACACACACACACACACACACGCACGCACGCACGCACGCACGCACGCACATACGCGCACACATGCATATTCCAGCAACACCAGAACCAAAGCCCTGAACATGCCTGCAACAGCCTCCCCTACTTCCTCTTCTGTCAATCAAGGGTTTGTGAAGGGTCCCCATGATCAGTAGACAAGGACAATACATATTTCTTGTTGTCTTCTTAGGCTGTGAAATGAGGTTATGCATATGAAAGACTATTCAGAATCTATCACAGTCTAAAGAGAAGGACTGATCAACACCTCCATTTGCAGCATGCCCACCCCAAGGCTCTGTGGCCACCCCTATAGAGACCCCCAGGAGAAGTTGTTGCCCTTTGCTATGTGAGCCAGTCCTGGGCTTTCCTGGGAGTTTTGGCTCCCATGTGTCAGTGTATACATTTCTTGTTAAGGTGTTGGTGTTCTGGACGCTTGCACAAACAGCATCTCGTGATCTTTTACAACGTGTCTTTGTGCTCATCGTACATCCTGTCAACGGACGGAGCCTCATTCCATTCTTTACTGCTACAGACTGGACCCTGGGGCAGAGTACAGCATGGTGGCTGATGTGGCTGCCTACGGAGAGGGGCCTGGATAGCCTGCAGCTCTTCCCAGGAATCGGTCCTCTGCCGTGGACATTCGTATCAACAGTCCTGCTTCTGAAGGCCAGGGTTTCCCAGGTTGTACAAATTCTGGGCTGGAGGAGGAGGAGCCTGTGTCTGACAGATGGAATCTTGTGTGTCCGTCCTCCCTGATTTCTGTGCTACATTCCGGCAGCGTTTGGGCTCCATTTGGCTTTCTGGCTTTCAGGTATGAAATGGCGGCTCACTGGACCTCAATGTCCTGGGACTGTTAACCGAGCTGAGACCTTCATGTCTTAAGGACCGTTTCACTGCCTCTTCCATCAACTGCCTGACAGGGATTGTTGGGCACCTTTGGCTTCTCTTGTTGATGTTCATGAATTCTTCCCATAGTCTCAACAATCTTTTCTAGGCGAGTGTGCAGCCAGCACCTCTCCCCGCTTCCCGGCCTGTCAGTCTCTTGATCACACTCTTAGTTCTAGCGTAATTGAAGTATAGTAATTCTTCCATGATGCGTGCCTGTCTTCAGACCCACCCAACCTGCCGTGGTGGGGAAGGCATGGCGGCACTCGTGGCAACTGGAGTATCTGGTGAGATTATTCACATGGGTGGATCGGACGCTGAGAGAATGAACCAGGAGCAGAGCCAGGCTATAACCTCAAAGGCCAGGCCAAGTGACCTGCCTTCGCCAGCCAGGTCTCACTAAACCAGCACCCCTAGATGGGAACCAGGTATTCAAACACATCAGCTGTGGGGGATGATGTTCCAGACTCAAATCACAACAGGATCTAAGGTTATTTTCTCCAGTTACTGCCCCTGGACCTGCACATCATTTCCTTACATGCACACCTACGTGGTTTATTAAACAGAACACATCTGACCGGCATAAAGCCAGGTGGCTCTGGGCTCTGGTTTCCCCCATAATGACTAAGAGCTCCATCCATAAACCCAGACACCCTGCTCCCACTTTAGCCTTTGGGGGACACTTTGCCCACCCTTGATCTTCCTTCAGAAGATCTTACCTGTAACTGGCCCTTCATCTTCCCCATGTAAGTATGAGGATCAGGCTTTGGTTTTCATAAAAAAATAAAATAAAATCCCATTGTGACTTAGATGAGATGGAACTGAGTCTACAGGTGGTTTTGTGTTGTTATTGTTTCATTTTTTAAAAAAAATTATTTATGTATGTATGTATGTATGTATGTATGTATATATGTATGTATGTATGTATATAGCATATGTGACTGCAAGCCAGAAGAGGCACCAGATCTCATTACATATGGTTGTGAGCCACCATGTGGTTGCTGGGAATTGAACTCAGGACCTCTGGAAGAGCAGTCAGTGCTCTTAACCTCTGAGCCATCTCTCCAGCCCTTTTCATTTTTTTTTAAAGGCTTATTTGCATGTATGTGTATTTGCCTGGATGTGTTTTGTGTACCATGTGCATGTAGGAGCCCATGGAGGCCAGAAGAGGGCATCAGATCCCCTGGAATGGAGTCATAGGTGTTCATGAGTTACCATGTGGGCGCTGGAAACAGAATTGCTGAGCCATCTCTCTAGCTACCCATGATTGTCTTTATTGACCTTTTCTTATTCCAAATAGAAAAGGAGGAAACACAGGAAGCAGGGGACATGGGCCACCTGCAGATGGAGTGCTGCCAAGAGTGAATGTCTTCCTGTTCACTTTCCTACCTCACGATTCAGAGAACTGGCAGGGCACCCATGTGTGTCTACAGCCACACAGCCACACAACCACACACACACACACACACACACACACACACACCCCTTCACTAGGCTACACAGTGCTGTGCACATGTGCATCGTTACACACACACACACACACACACACACACACACACACACACACACACACACACCTTCACTGGGCTACAGACCCAGTGCTGTGCACCTGTGTGCATCCAGTTACACACACACACACACACACACACACACAACACTTCACTAGGCTGCAGACCCAGTGCGGTGGGGGGAGGCAGTCTTCACACTGCGGCGTACCCTCTGGAGTTAGGGTGTTTAGCTATGCCTCTGGCAGGCTAAGTCCAGCCTTGCTGCATTGAAAGCTGCAAGGTGAATGCCACTGCTGGACAGTAATGGGACCCACTCACCCTGTCTCGAAGCCACATGAGCTTGACTGTGGTATGCCTGCGCACAGCAGAGAGTCGGGTGACAGGCTGTGCTCCAAAAGAAACAACAAGGAAGTCAGAACTAATTGTTTCTGTCTTGTTTTCCTAGTTAAGTATGCGAAGGAGAAATTCTGACAAAAGGCTGTGTCTAAATAAGTTGAAAATAGCTCTTTTGACAAGTGTAAACTGAGCATGCTAGGTGTTGGGAACACAGTGTGTTCTTGTTTAATTGGGAACCATCCTTTTCCCTCCCAGCTGAATGTGAAGCAAAGGGAGTCTCCGACACCAAAGTCCACGTGGATTGTCTGCAGATGGTTCGTCCCGTCAGTCCAATGCAACCCGGTCTGTACAGAGGCCAGCTGCAGAGGAAGTGGTCATCGAGTCACCTGCTTCAGAGAACAAGTGGAGGAGCTCACAACCCCTCACATCCCCAGCAACTGGGGAATGGCTGCGATGGTGGTAGAGTCTGGCACAGAGCAGTCACTGGCTGCCCCTAACTACCATTCCCGGTTCAGTACAGAGGCTTAAGTGCCATGTGTATTCTGCTGAAAACACATCCCAGAATTGCTCTGACTAGCTGCCTTTGTACTGCGAGGATGGTGCTGCTGCCCTCTACTGGTAGAGGAAGACATAGTCAGACCCCAGAGCCAAGACGCCAGCCAGCTTCACCGGGGTAGGACCAGCTTCCAGTGGACCCACAGCAGGCTAGGTGCAGAGGCTGTCTGCTAACATCTGGGTCCTGAGGAAGACTGCCCAGCCTGGTGACTCTAAAGTGACAATGTTGTTAATGCTTCAAGCTAGCTCTAGGCAGGATTTGCTTTTCCCTTCCCCTCACCATTTTAAATTTTTCTTTTCTTTCCTTTTTCTTTTTTTTACACTTATTTTGTATATGTGAACATGCACACACCACAGTGCGTGTGTAATCTGGAGGACAACTTGTGGGAGTTAGTTCTGTCTACTACACGGGTCCTGAGTGAAAAAGCTCAGGTCGTCAGCATGCACCTTTACCTACCGGGCCATTTTGCTGGCCCACATTTTTTTTTTTTTTTTTTGGTTTTTCGAGACAGGGTTTCTCTGTGTAGCTTTGCGCCTTTCCTGGAACTCACTTGGTAGTCCAGGCTGGCCTCGAACTCACAGAGATCCACCTGCCTCTGCCTCCCGAGTGCTGGGATTAAAGAAAGGCGTGCGCCACCACCGCCCGGCGCTGGCCCACATTTTAAATCTACTGAAATACTTTATTGGATACGTGGGCTTATAACGATCTGAGATGTATTAATTTGCTCTATTGTGTGTTCATCCTTATTGGTCTGTTTGTATTTCTGTGCATTTCGGACACCTTTGTAGAAAGCCATTCCATTTTATTTTACTTCATATACTGTAACGCTTCTAGGGATATGTTTGCTGTGCCGATTTGAATTACACTTATTTCTGACTTGCTTTATATTATGGTTTACTTTTGACAGCCTCTATATTTCCCATATTAGCCTTTTATTATCAGCTCATATTAATTACCCATGCCATGGATTTCGGGTGACATTTTTATACTTGTGGAGACGGCTCAGATTATATTTTCTGATTACCCATGCTGTCCCTTCACTTCAGAGAAAGTGTCCCACATTAACCCCTTCAAGCCCGGCTATTTCCATTCAGAGCGAGGCATTCAGGAATCAGTGCCGTTTATGTCTTAGCCAGTAAGCGTTTATAAGTGTAGCATATTTCTGTTTAGTTTTTTAGTGTAGACTATTCCCACACATCTAAAAATTGCCTCAACCGCCCCATACATGGCATGGACATCAGGCCTTCTACGGTGACAGCACCTGGGAACTGCTTTCGGGGCATCCATGTTTCACAGGCTGCTCAAGCCAGCCTTGGCAGGATGGGAGGCAGCTGCAGCCCCGCATGCCTTCCCCTGGGTACTGGAGCTATCGGTGGGTGTCTGGGCAGTCCATGGCTGCCTCCACCGTCGTCATGGTAAATGGTCACACGGTGGCCTAATAGGTGAAGGTGCCGGCCACCGGGCCTGAAAACCCAAGTCCCATCCCCAAGAAGGCAGGAGAACCAATTCCCTACGTTGTCCTCTGATCTCCACACATGTGCTGTGGCGTGTGTGTGTGCATGTGCACACACATAAATGTAGAGCAGGAAGAGGAGGAGGAGGAAGGGGAGGATGGGGAAAGGTGGGGAGAGGGAGGAGGAAGAGAAACATGCCTTGTACCAGAAACTAGGAGCTTGAGTAGTTCAAGTACTTTCTCCTCAGGGATTTTTCGTGACCCATATGGTCACAGCGAGCTGTACAACCAAGTCCCACGAGAACATGCTTCCTACCAGCACAGAGTGACACCATATTGTTTTCCCACACACGTGGACTTGCCTCCTGTGTTCACAGGCTCCCAACCCACAGTCGTGACACTTCCTTAGTGTGAATCAGCCCCTCATGTACCCAGGAGAGAGGGGCCCAAGCTACCCTCTGGTGGGTACAGTCCGGGTGTCCTGAGCAGAGGCCAGGCTTCTTTCTTCAGATCTCCTGGGTCTACAGGAGGCTACATCCCGACCTCAGCTGTCATTCAGTACAACTGGATATCCAATGGCCTAACTGGAGCATGGGGTAGACTGTGCCAGGCAGGCCCATGGTCTTTACTCAGGGCAGTAAAGACCTGGAAGCCCGTCTCTCCCTCAGAGGGGACTTGGCAGAAGCCACAAGTGATGCTGGACAACTGGGTCTGTGCCAAGTCATTCTTCATGAGAATGAGGGTCATCTCCAAGGGGTCACGGGCCTGGGAGCAAGGCACTCCCCCCCATGACCCTTCATCTCAGACTGTGTCACCTTGGTTTTGGTGACTGTGGGAGGGTGCAGGGCTGGAACTCAGTCTTAGGAATAAGCCAGCTTTGTATTAGTCACAGTGCAACCCTCGGCCTGGTTTTGGATGTTCCATTCCAGTCTTCAGTTTGCTGATAGTGAATCTGACTAACTCATTTAAGGGGGGGGGGTCCCCTATGGATTAGCAGCTCCAGCAGGCTGTGTCTGGTTCATGGTTGAAGGCTCAGCTGTCTTGGCACAGGGGCACCGTTTCCTGTCAGTCCTGGCAGACTTCCTCATGATGCAGAGCCCAAAGGCCCCACAGAGAGGGATGGCACCTGACTGCAGCCCTGTCTGTCCACCCAGAGGTTCGCCTGCCTCAGTCCGTTCCTGCCAGCTTGTCCTCGTCTGGTGGACAAGCTCCTGTTACACACTCCGATGGAGAGCCGCATTCTGACTCCAGGCGGTTGCTTTCCTAAATGGCTTTTCCCCAACTTGCAGCTACTTCCAGCTACTCTGCCAAAAGCAGCCAAGGAGGCTGGTGTTTAGAGCCAGCTGCTGGCAGATGGGCTAAACATCTGCCAAAATGACAGCCTTGGCTGTCGGACTGGCTACTTATACAGACGGTTTCAGCTAACTGTAATGACTTCGTAGCCCAGGCTGGCTTTAAACTTGCAGTAATTCAACTGCCGCAGGCTCCTGAATTCTAGATTTAAGCTTGTACTACCACACCTGGTTTGTGTAAAACGTCTCAATAGTCCATCCCCAGGGGGACTGAGGGCTTGATTTGCTGGCACAGTCTTCAGGATGCCTTTCACATTCCTCTTCTGGAGACAAACTCAAAACCCTAGAATAAGGAGTTGGTATCACTGTCATGTGCTGGTGATGTGCTATTTGACGCCATGATTCATGAACCATGCTTGCAAAATTGGTTTTCAGTTACCTCGAACTATCAGAAGAGCCAAGTCAGCCCACGATGGTCATGAAGACATCTTCGATGGAAACAGGACAGGTGCTCCCCAGCTATAATTTCTGTAATGCTTCCGAGAACATGGTAACTACATTAACTAGGGGTCCTTGGCGGTGGTTCTGGACCATAGGGGTCCCCCGAGTACAGGGCGGTGGTAGGAGGAAGCTGGGAAACCCAGCAGGGCTGTTCTGATGTGACCTTTTTCTACTTTTAGAATGTTAAGCGTATGTGGCTTCAGACCTTTCCTTTTGAATAAAATGAAAACCCTGGTACCTCTTCCTGCCTTGTTCTCTGGCACTCCTTGGCATGGTGTGGGCTTCATCTAGGCTCATTCTTTTTTTTTTTTTAAATGTTGCCTTTTAGTTCCTTTATAATTTTTTTTTTTTTTAATGTGCATTGGTGTTTTGCCTGTGTGAGGATGTCAGACCCCCTGGAACATGAGTTACAGATAGTTGTGAGCTGGCATGTGGGTGCTGGGAACTGAACCCAGGTCCTCTGGAAGAACAGCTAGTGCTCTCAACCACTGAGCCATCTCTCCAGCCCCCTAGTGTGCACTCATCCTCACTCCTCCCCACCACACTGGCCACCACAGCGGCTGCCACTGACCACCTGTGCTGAGACCACAATGGCTGCCACTAACAACTGTGGAAAGCATCCATGTTGGCCACTGCAGATTCTAGAAAGCATTTCCAGCCTAACAGTCATATTCTACCAAATAGTTTTCAAGATGCGTCAAACATTTCTATCTTCATAGAATTTTTTTTAATATATAGGTACTCTGTCCAGATGTATGCATGCAGGCCAGAAGAGGGCATCAGATCCTGTTTTAGATGGTTGGAAGCCACCATGTGGGTGCTGGGAATTGAACTCAGGACCTCTGGGCTCTCTCTCCAGCCCCCTTTATAGAACATTTTGAGAGTTGCTCATAAACGTGTTGACCAACTGCTTCTGTATCAAGCCTTTGACACCTCAGGGCACAGCTCACAGGGCCTCCTCGGGAAGTCGGCAATGCAGGCAGCTTCTCAGAGCCTGGGAGTGGTTTCTGAGGCTCAGTCAAGGGTTCTGACCTTGATCGCTATGAGGGACATTTTCAAAACTGAATGTTCTTCCCATGAGTCTAAGCTGTACAAGAATACACACACAGCTGTTTGAAGTGGCCTATCGCAGGCATGCCAGATGGCTTTTTACTGTAATTTTCTAACTATAATTTACATCCTTAAAAGGCCCAAGTTCACTTTAGCAGCTGCTGAAACCAAGGTTGAGAACACTGCGGTCACTCTAACCTATAAAAATAAGTATCCGAGGCAACAATGCTGCCAACCGTCCACAAGGCGCAGTGAGACGGCCACAAAGTCGAGTGTTAGCAAACCCAACAGACGGGGCATGAAGACACGACCCAACCCCCAACCTTCTTCCCACCCCTTCACCTCCCGACCCACCCCAACTCCACCTAGAAAGTACACTCAGAAACAGATCAGCAGTGGTTTTTTTTTTAATTCAATTTGTAAAGAACAGTTTAAAAACAAAATGCTAGTACATCCTTAAAGCATTGGTTTCTTCATCTCACAGTTTATCTGCACCAATTGTTATTACAAAAATCAGAAGTCATTGCGGTATTTGCCGTGTAACCACTAGTTGCCTAAACAAAAGCTAATTTCTATAAAACCATAAATTTAATGCAGTTTTAATAAGAGAAATCCAAAATTCTCTCAGTTAACTGGATATATAGTAGTATATATATTTAAGCAGAAAACCTCAAAAAACAGTAACAAAAAAATAGGTCACCATAGTAAAATATTCTGACCTGACAGTTGCTACAAACAGCGACTTCCACTAAATATAAAGGAAACCATTATCTGTGGTAAAAAGTCCAGAGACCAAGTAGAAATGTGGAGTAAAAACACAACCACCCTAATCCACCCCAGGCAGAGCCTGTTCCTAAGGAAACACAGGCAGTGGTCTACAGGAAACAGGGAGACTACTGGGCCCTGGCCACTGACACTGCTCTTCCTAGGTCGCTGCCAACACTGCAGTAAGGCTGCACCCTGCACAGGAAGAGCTGTGTTGTCTGGTAAAGGATTGGCAATTACCAGGCACCTCATTTACTAACCCGAGTCATCCTGATCCACTAGAATTCACAAAGAAACAACAAGAGGCTGGTGTCAAAAAAAGGTGAAGCCCCCAAGTGCTCTTGCAGGAGCACACCGCCCACGCGGGGAAGTCCTCTGCTACAGCAGCACTCACGGGAACTGCGTGAAGGACCCAAGGACTCTCTGCGGTGGAGCCAAGGCAGGCCGGGCTCAGGAGCCGTGGTGCAGCTGCATGGTGCCCAGGACGGCACTGTCATAACGCTGCTCCACCCGCACACAGCTCGAGTGCTCGAGCACACTGCTCAGCTCTGGGATGCTCTCGGCAGTGTCCCCAAACCCATGGTAGTGTCCATAGTGCAAGTTCTCTCCCACGTCCCCAACCCAGGATGGCCTGCTGGCCACACAGCTACTTGGGCTCCCGTTCAGATGCAGAGACCCACACATCTCAGGGTTAATGCCCATGGTCTTTTCTGGCTCCTCAGTCCCATTAGCACAGACCGAACCCTGGCCACTGGAAAATGGCTGTCCATTGCTAATTCCATTAGATCCTGTTAAGCACGGGTTACTCCTGCTCTCCATCCCATTGAGTTGTGTCACGCAGGGGAAGTCCAAATGTCCATTGATGACACTTCCATTTGTCAATGTATTCAACACGGAGCTACTGTTTTTCACATCTGCATTAAGAAATATACCTGTCACCAAAACGCAGACCAACGGGGAAGGAGAAACTAGCATAGTATGTTCAACTCTTGCCACAATTAAAAAAGACTTTGGTTTGTGTTCTGTTGCTATTTTTTTTCTTCTAAACAAACCAGTTCCCTTTTCAAGGTTATACAGACAGATTTAGAGGTAAAACACAACTGTAGTATTTTGTCTAGTAAGACAGGAAAAGTGTTTATATTTCAGTAGCCTTGGAGAGAGATCTGAAATGCAAGCTGTCACCAAAAGTAAACACACAGAGCAGTAGATACTGATCTACTAAAACAACCCCCGAAGGACAGTGTAAATCACCCTGGCAGGGTCCATCAGAACCCAGCAGAACACTCTCTACTTGCGACAGGGAACTCTTCTAGTCAAGGGGGAGGCAAACAGTGGATACGTTGAAGAAGCTTGAACCAGTGCACCCCAGGGACTTGATGACCAACAAGAACTGCTCTTGTCTTAGTGACACTCCCATCGACACCCAACCCCCACAACCGCTGCTCAGCACTGGTGCAGCACAGGATGGTAGCTAAGCAAAAGCTGCCGACACCAGTGGCTCTCACAGTCCTGGGTCAAGGGCAGTTCTGAGGGTTTCTACTGAGTCCAGCAACAAAGATGACCATGAGAGCCAAGGTCTCAGATCTGGTTATTTTCAGAAACCATCTATGATGAAAAAGTGTGGATAGTTTAGTCCACAGACAAGCTGCTGCTATACAGAAAACATGTGGGCACACAGATCTAGAGTACAGAGAATTACAATTGATGTTCACAGGAATTCACACACAGTAAAAGAAGGAGCTCTTGCTTGGTAATATTGAATTTTATCTCAGTGCTCTGGGCTGTAAAGACAGACAGACACTAAATCTACACAAGCTCAGTTCTAGTGGCTTGTGGATGAACACAGTCATTTTTTCCTGTACCCTACAGTTTGCATGTGTCCTGTCAAGGATTGTGGTTATTAAGTAAACAAAACATCAAGATCCCTTATCAACATTTTTTTTCAGATTAGTAGTAATCCTAACTTAGTAACTGGAACACATTCAGAGGATAATTTCCCCGCCTAAAATTATAGCTTTTCTCTGTAAACAACTCAGTATTTGAGAAGTAATATTTCAAATACTAGGAACAAAACTTTTTAAAAAAATGAAGCAAGTTTTTCTCAAGGGGAAAATTGTATTTTTTTTTTTAAATAAAGTCACTTTTCTTGTTAACTCATGAATAGGATGGTGAATTTCAAAGTTATTAATGCCCTACAGACGGCATTTTTCCTCCTTTAGTACCCAGCTGAAGTAAATCAGTTTCACTATTTCATCTCAAAATCAAAGGAGCCTGGCAGCCCAGCTAACCAGGGGCAGTGCACCAACATCTGAAGGGCAGAAGCCCGAGACTATGACAGACACGACCTGTCCCACCCCCTTCTCACCTACTTGCTCAGCTGTGGACAAAGTCACTCAATCCAAAGCACTGGTACAGGTAGCCAGACTGAGCCGGCAAAGAAGTCACTGGAGAGCCCCCTGCCCCTTCGAGTCTCAAATGAGGGGCATTAAAAAATGTGAAGAGATCATTAAGACAGCTTTTCAAAAAGTGGAGATGCGTTTAAGGAGAAATGCCTTACTTCTGTAAGATCCCAGGGCAGTGGCAGCTGTCTCCACAGGCTTTCTGTGCACATGGGTGCTATTTCACACAAGGAATTGGCAAGGATGTCTAGGGATTCCTAACACATTTCTTCAGTCAGTACTGGAAAGCACCAGAAGGCTCACATGGCCTTCTGACACCCAAGACAAACTGGCTTGGAGGAAAAGCCTGCCCACAAGCTTAGCACGGGGCTGGCTGTTAACACAAGGAGTTCCTCCTGCTGACTAGGGAGAGAGCACTGGTCGTCCTCATCAAGGACAGGCTCTGGCGTCTGTCACTTTTCCTTTGTTAGTAAAGACAGCATCTGCTGAGAGAAAACCTTATTTAAATGTACTCTCTGAGCTAACTGTACAGAGGTGAGCACCCATTTTCTCTGAGTATTTGGCTGAAGGTAACCCCAGCCATGACTGTGCATGACTGTGTTATGGGCACAGAAACATTCCCTGTGGGTTTGGAAGCACACAGGTGACCTTTTTATCCCCTCTCTCTATATATATAAAATCAGTATTTCTAAATAGACAGACACACGGAGAACAGCTGTGACCTTCTGTCATCCCCTAAAGAACGGGGGAAAAGGCACATGCCAAATAAATACATCATTTCAGAAATCCTAAATCCTGGACACACTGAGCTCCTCTGACTTTAGAACTGTAAACTAAGAGCTAATTATTGTCATAGGCTGAACATTTTAACATGTAAAGCACTGTTGAAAACAGTCAGCATCGTAACAGTCTTCAAGGGGTTGCTAGACACCAAAGCAACCAAGGGCGTGGGGCAGACATCCCAAACTTGTCACCAGTGGGTCACAGCCACAGCCGCCCCCTCCACGTTCCCAGTGTTCC